CTTTAAACTCATTAGGTTGAAATAGTTTTCTAACTGAGCAAATAGCATGCTCTGTTCTTGCTATCTTCAAAGTAGGATGTACTACGTATAACTATGAGTATATTTTGAACAGTAGTTTGATAATCTTCATAACTTTATTTTCCTATTTAAAAACTCAAAATTTTGGTATTTGGCTACTCTAAACCTAAAAGACTTATGTGTCCACTTGGTCTGGAAAAAAACTTATTCTATAAACACCCAGTTAAATGTTACTAACCTTTTGAAATGTCCCATGCTGACTCCAAAAAAAATTTTTGCCTTTCTTTCCTCTTCCCCCATGATACCATGATTTTACTTTTGTCATGGGTTTAATTGACATATATATATAAATGAGAATATAATTTTTTATTTGTCCTATTTAATGATAAGTATGATTCAAAAATTTTTTCTAATCTCCATTGATCATCTGAGTGTACAATTTGTACCCAGGTGATCAATGGAGATTAGAAAAAACATTTGGATTTTTTCAATAGGAAAATAAGATTATAAGGATTATCAAACTACTGCTCAAAATATATTTATAGTTATTACATAAGTATATCCTGCTTTGAAGATGGCAAGAACAGAGCATGCTATTTGCTAAGTTAAAAAATGATTTCAAAAAACGATTTCAACCTGATGAGTTTAAAGGCTCGTGGAATTTGAGTTAGAATGGAATTTATCATTTTACATGTATCTAACCCTTATACACTATGAGCTCCTCAGTAACTTATTCAGCTCATTCTGCTAGGTACCTCCCATACCTGGTAGGTTATCCAGCACATAACAAGTGTGCAATCTCACCCTTGTTAGAGTACTTTGCTAGCTCACACCTGAAAAAAAAAAAAAAAATAGCCTCTGCATGCCTGTGGACATATTAGAGCCTGCGACAGCCATCCACACATGTTGTGAGAATTCAGAAAGCTAGATTTATTGCTGCTCTGGGTCAGATATTTAGTTCTATCACCACATTAAAAAGTTGGTGATGTTTTTAGTTTAGAAACCTCAGCCTCCCACATGCAGGCTTTTCTAGATCTGACCTTCAACCTATCCCTCCCTTACACCTCAGTCCTTTACCCTAATAATACTCAAACCTGCTCAACATTTTTCCTTCTCGCAAAAACCAGTATTTCTCAACCTTTTGGTTAAATAAGAATAACCCAGATAAACTGATAAAAATTTATATTCCTGAGCCCTAAACCCTGAGAATAATTGCAATGTTATAGGTGGAGCCTGGAAATCAGCAATTTTAAGAAACATACCAGGTGATTCCAATGCACGTTTTCCATACTCTTAGGAAAAAAATTCTATAAACCTAAATTCACCCTTGATTAATAAGGTGTAAAATCCATTTAAACTTCAAGATTCCCAGAGTACATCTACAGAGGGGAAAGAGAAACAAAGCAAGCAATAGAGTTGCCAGTAAAATGGGAGGGATTTGGCAAAAGAAGGCATGAAAGGACTACAAACTGAGAGGTAAGAAGGTTAGGCAGACTAAATACACACAAGACCAAACATCAGTCAGCCAAGGAGAAATTTACATAAGCAATTGGTCCAGGTGGATGAAGGACTTGAGAAAGGTGTATGGTATGCCCTGGCAGGGAAGTTCCATCTTACAAAAGGGAGATAGGATGATTTTGATGATTCCATCAAATGTAGGAAAACAAGCAAAATGTAGTAATGCCATAAGGGAATACTTACTGAGGACTGATAAAATAAGTATGTATTTAAATGTGCTTCTGGATCTATAACTGCTTAGTGGTTAGAAATAAAGTGTATGGGGCTGGGTGCGGTGACTCATGCCTGTAATCCCAGCACTTTGGGAGGCTGAGGCAGGCAGATCACAAAGTCAGGAGATCGAGACCATCCTGACCAACATGGTGAAGCCCCATCTCTACTAAAAATACAAAAAGTAGCTGGGTGTGGTGGCACATGCCTGTAATCCCAGCTACTTGGGAGGCTGAGACAGGAGAATCGCTTGAACCCGGGAGATGGAGGTTACAGTGAGCCGAGATCGTGCCACTGCACTCCAGGCTGGTGACAGAGCAAGACCCCATCAGAAAGAAAGAAAGAAAGAAAGAAAGAAAGAAAGAAAGAAAGAAAGAAAGAAAGAAAGGAAGGAAGGAAGGAAGGAAGGAAGGAAGGAAGGAAGGAAGGAAGGAAGGAAGGAAGGAAGGAAAAAGAAAGAAAGAAAGAAAGAAAGAAAGAAAGAAAGAAAGAAAGAAAGAAAGAAAGAAAGAAAGAAAGAAAGAAAAGAGAAAGAGAGAGAGAGAAAGAAAGAAAGAAAGAAAGAAAGAAAGAAAGAAAGAAAGAAAGAAAGAAAGAAAGAGAGAGAGGAAGGAAAGAAAGAGTATAATTAACACTTCATCTTTGTTGCCAGGTAAAATGCTTCCATTTCTATGTGATATCAATGCAGCACATCCTAAAATAGAACTTGAAGGACAAGAGGAAACAAGTTTCAACAACTTATTCAATATGGTGGGGTGTCTCCATCTTCTGGGAATGGAGAGTGGTGATTAGGACTATAACATCTACTGTCCATTGCTCTGGAGGAGGCGCTGAAAGACTTTTGGATAAAACTCAATCTATCCCATATCCTGGGGGATGTTTTCATTTTATCAGGATCAAATCTTTAAACTATAACAATTCATTTCTATATGTAGAATTCCTATCATTAGTTGACAGATGAAGTATGATGACAAGTGGAAATTGATATCAAATCAAATTTACAATCACAAACTCTCTCATATAAGATATTGTGGTTTAGCAGTTAATAATTCAGGCTCTGAAATCAGACTGCTAAAATTTTGTTCACTGACTCCACTACTCATTAATGTGGGTCGTTAATCCCTCTAACCCTAAATCTTGCCTGTACGATGGAGAGAATAATAATGTCTACCTTGTATAGTTGCTGAGAGATTTCACAATGAAATGAATAGAAAGTCTCTGGCATATAGTAACTACTCAGTAAGCTCTAGCTGTTATCATTAGGAGCATCATTATATTACAGCATTCTAAATCTATATCCTTTTTTTTCCCTTGATAGGTTCAAGTTTCATGGTCTTATCTACTAGTGCCATAGACACACACCAGAGTCAGATAAGCTTAGATGTGTATCTTAGCTTTATGTTTGAGGGTGGGTTTTCTTTTTCCCACACTGTTCTAGTTTGCTCAATTGTAAAGTGGATAATAATAATAGTTATCTAATTGTGTAAATTAGATCATTATGTCCGTCAAAAATGTGTGCATGTGCGCCCCTCAAAGTTCTAATGCCCTTCACCGATTCTCATCTTGTTAAGCAGTATTTTTAGTGCAAAATACATAGGAACAAAAACCATTTGCAACTATAATAAAACAATTTCTAACTGTGTGACATTAAGCAAATGATTTAAGGCATTAAGATTATTTTGAGGTTGAAAATGACAAAATTTTAAACATGCATATATAGAGATGATATTGTTATGGTCTGGCGTTATGAGAGACAGCCAGCCCACTGATGAGGCTCTCCAGAACTGATAAGCAGTTATTCAGGTTGGCAAAGGGAGGCTGGAGAACAGACTTTAGTGCATGTATTTTGTAACAGTAGCCACAAACTGATTTTGTGTGTTTGACCGACTTCATAAGTTACTTTTAATAATATTTACCTGATGCTTTGAAAACAGCCACAGTAGCACATTGTCCTTGTCTGAAATGATTATGTTATCCTGAAATAGTGCTCTGGCCTCCTGTGCTGGGTTTTATTATGGTATTTCTTTGATTTTGGAGACGCAAGCCCTAGACTAGCAGAATGAAGCATTAGTATTACCTAGCTACTTAAATGCCAGACTTATTCTTTCCAAAATGGATGTAAACAGAACATGCCTCTCTTCTTCATCCTTCAAACCTGGATTCCTCGCCTCGGTTCAATACTATCTGTTAAAGTAGCTTCAGACAGAACGGAGAATGTCTGTGCTCCTCTTCTTTAACACTGTGGGTCTGAAGTCATAGATATTCCCCAGTGAAACTGTCTAAACTCTCAACCCTTCATTCCTTGTCAATTAAACAATGTCACTTGATGCTCATTTTCATTCTTTTTGTCTTAGAATATTTTCCATTTTCCCTAATTAGGCTGAATCTATGTGATTCTGAGTATTTGGTGCTAGATGTTAAAAAAAAAAAACAAAAACAAAAAAACAAAAAAAAAAAAAAAAAACAACCCTAGGTCTCTAATTGTCTAATGAAACCCAGTCCTTCAAAACATGTAGATATGTTTTACAGGATTCCAAAAGCTCCAAGGACAAGATGAACATATCTCCAAATTAAGGCAAAATTTGAGAAGGCATGTTGATATAGACCATCTCCTTTGAGACCATTCTCCCTTATTCCGCATTTTATACCGTTAGAATATTGAGTGAGCTGAAGCTGAGAGAAGCTAGTAAGCATTCCACTAGGAAGAAGGATTTCTAGCATTCTACAGGAGTCTGGATAAGGGGAAAAAAAGAAAAATAACACTTTATGACAGGACTAGGGCTTTGCACAGTCCAGTCCTATTTGGCTTCGTGGCTGACTAATGAAAATTAAATCTCTGAGGATACCGAGAGCCCAGATTTTTAAATTCGGTTATTTTATGTCAAGCCGGGACACAGAAGGACCATAAACACTAAAATAAGAGTTCTTAATACCAGTAAAATTTGTTCATGGTGCATTTATTCTGCAAAGTCTTCTCTGACCCCTCTACTCCTCTGGATTCCTCTAAGACCACACTACTCACATGATTCTCTGCCTTACCACAACAGTATCAGTAGCATGCGTCAGAGCCACAGAAGCTCGGTATGAAATCCTGCCTCTACCACCTGTTTCCTACCTGATCATAGATGAGTCACTCAAACTCCCTTTTCTTACCTTTGAAAACAGTAAAACCTAGTTTTAAGAGTAGCTGGGAGAAGAGATACTGTGCACAGTGTAAATTTTCGGATACATAATTGATGTTCAATATTGCCATGCTGCTTGCTATTGTAATCTGTTTCTCTCCTTGTGCATCACTTGCAGACCAAAATATAGATCACCATATTCTCAGAATGTAAGGAAGTGTTGGGTATTCAATATTATTTTACCGATTGGTTAAATGATGATTGGTAGCTATAGACCAGTTACAGAGTTCTGTTCCATTTCCCCTGCAGCTGACTGAAGATGAACCCTGAAAACTGGACTCAGGTGAGAAGCTTTGTTCTTCTGGGTTTTCCCAGTAGCCACCTCCTACAGTTCCTGGTGTTCCTGGGGTTAATGACCACCTACACTGTAACAGCCATAGGCAACCTGCTAATTATTGTGCTCAGCTGGATAGACCGACGCCTGCACACACAGATGTATTTCTTCCTGCGGAATTTATCCTTCCTGGAGCTGTTGCTGGTAACTGTTGTGGTTCCCAAGATGTTTGTCGTCATCCTCACGAGAGATCACACCATCTCATTTGTCAGCTGCATCATCCAGTCCTACCTCTACTTCTTTCTAGGCACCACTGACTTCTTCCTCTTGGCTGTCATGTCTCTGGATCGTTACCTAGCAATCTGCCGACCACTCCACTGTGAGACCCTGATGAGTGGCCATGTCTGTTCCCAGCTAGTGCTGGCCTCCTGGCTAGCTGGATTCCTCTGGGTCCTTTGCCCCACTGTCCTCATGGCCAGCCTGCCTTTCTGTGGCCCCAATGGAATTGACCACTTCTTTTGTGACAGTTGGCCCTTGCTCAGGCTCTCTTGTGGGGACACCCATCTGCTGGAAATGGTGACTTTCATGCTCTCTACGTCGGTGTCACTGGGCTCGCTGACTCTGACCTCAGTTTCCTATGCCTGCATTCTTGCCACTGTTCTCGGGGCTCCCACAGCTGTTGAGCGAAGGAAAGCATTCTCCACTTGCACCTCGCATCTCACAGTGGTGGTCATCATCTATGGCAGTTCCATCTTTCTCTACGTTCGTATGTCAGAGGCTCAGTCCAAACTGCTCGGCAAAGGTGCCTCCGTCCTGAGCTGCATCATCACACCCCTCTTGAACCCATTCATCTTCACTCTCCGCAATGACAAGGCGCAGCAAGCACTGAGAGACGCCCTGGGGTGGCTCAGGCTCACTGCTGTGATGAAACTGAGGGTCACGAGTCAAAGGAAATGATCTTATTAAATGGGAGATTAAATGTTTTTTGAAAAATTTTTAAATGTGCAGGAAGTTTAAGGGATGTAGGCAACACTGTGCACTTTTCTCAGCTAATGAAAGAACAGTCTTCTTAAATATACAACATGATATATGGTGGTAAACCTTCATTTTCCCTCCCTACAACCTTCCTTGTGCCTCCTCCTCCCCACAGAGAAGGCTGATCCAATTGGTTAAATTTCTTTCAAGTGGGATCCCTGGATTGGAGAGCACATGTGAGCATGTGACCTGCATACAGGAAGGCTCCTCTTTCTCTTCATGTGTGTGCTTAAACACTTTTCTTACTGCATCAGTCTCCTGTGTCATGTAGCCAATCAGAAGATGCTGAAATATGGAGATTCAAATCTGGAGCTCAGTGGGGAGTAAGAGGGCCTCTGAGGTCTTCCAAACTAGACTGGGTATTGCAAATAAAATTAACCAGAACCTCTGTATTATTAGAAAATCCAATTCTGGGTGCAGTAGTAAATGGTTCTCTGATTCACGTTTGTTATTGCTCCCTATGTAACTAGCAGCTCCTATAGGAATCTCATAAAGGAAGAATGTTAAGACCAGTGAAACATTTGGATAGCCCTAATTCCTAAGTCAAACTCTACTAACAAACTCAAATATGGCAACAAACTCAAATATGGCAACACTCATTTAATCATTCCTTTAAGAAATATTATTAAATCTCTAATATGTTTCAGACACTGTGCCAGGCAAGGCTCCAACTAGGGTGAACCAAGGGAGATGTCTACAGAATACATTTTAAAGAGACATGCACTTTCAGGGGAGTGTAAGTGCAGGGTCAGGCTACTTACAAACTCAATAGTAAATCCTTACTCAGTGTTGACATGAGGCGCCTATGTTGCTGCACCCTCATCTAGGCTGTGGTGCTAGGCTTGGAGAATACAGTATTAAGTAAGCTAAACATGGTTCTTTCTTTTATAGAATTTATAGCGTAGTGGGTGATGACTGACAAAATATATTAATAAATAAATTCATAAATCAGCATGTAATTGAAATCTGTGATAAATACTTTTGGGTTTTGTTAGAGAAACTAATAAGGACAAATTAATTTGGATTCAGCAAAGACATCTTTGAGGAAGAGACCTTTAGACCCAGGATTGAGATTGAGCAAGAGTTTGCCAAGCAAGGATGAAAAGAAGAGCGTCTCAGAGGTAGCAAAGAGTATTTGCAAACTCAAGAAGTAAGGAGAGACTGACAGAAGTAAATGTAAATAGAGGGTTAGAAAAGAGTGGAGTTAGAGAAGTGAGATTGGAGAGGTGGGTGGAAGCCAGGTCAGACAACATCTTATCTATAACAGTCATGTGGATTTTTTTTTATGGCAATGGAAAGCCTCTGAGTGGTTGTAAGGGAGTGAATGACCAAGTCATATTTTTAAAAATGAATCCAACGCCAAGTCTATTTATGATGTCAGTATAACTCACGATGATATAAACTCTATCCATAAACCCACAGATCCTTAGAATCTATAAGAAGTTTTAGGTATTGTTTAACACTTGGGCTCTGACATTGTATAGACTTGGGTTGGATTCCAGAAAACAAGCTCTGGAGCCTTAAGTAAGTTATTTAACGTCTCTAACTTGTAATTGACTCATGTTTAAAGTAAAGATGATACCTATCTCCTAAGAATTTTGAGAAAATTAAAATAAATAATAAAGGTAAATCACCTGGTTTTTGGATGTGTCTGGAACATCGTAAGTTCTAACTAAATGTTATTTATATGATGATGATGATGACACTGATAGCAACAACAGGTGACCCTAGGAAACTATGAAGAAGAAAGTGATTTGCCCAAGGTAATTTCCTTTCTCTTCATTGGCGAACATTCAATCGATCCATCAGTCTCCATTGGGACTCAGGGTCCAATATTTCAAGAGGACCCCTGTCTCAAAGAGTTTTAAAAATATTTTAAGGTCTTCCAATGTATTTTGTGTCCAAAAAGTGACATCAGGAAAAAGACACCAGATTTACCAGTCGAAACTTTCTCAGCAATGCCAACATCATTCTTACCTGGGAAGGTAGTCTCTGAGCCAAACAGTACTTCTGCATAGAACTTGGTACTTTCTATCTAGGAGGCACTTAGAAGCAGTTCTAAGACACTCATCCCATCTTCTATTGTGGCTAAGAGTTCAGGTCACCAGAACCTGATTGAGGTTAAGAACAAAGGAGAAGCAATAGGCATAGAGTTTTGTCTATTTTGAGGGTCCTATCCAGCAGGCTAATACTCTGAAGCATCTTTCAGATTCTCAGGTCACTGCCTCTGCTAAGGTAAGGGTCTGCGCTCCAGGGGACCAATAAGGTCCTTTTTCCTCCTCCACAGCTTCTTCATGGCCATGATCACTTCCTTGTTTCTCAGGGTATAGATGGCAGGATTCAGCATGGGGGTGACAATTGTGTAGAGCACAGACACTGCCTTGTCCATGGGGAATGTCCGAAAAGGCCTTGCATAGATGTAGATGCAAGGCACAAAGATTAAGGTCACCACAGCAATGTGAGAGGCACAGGTGGGCAGGGCCTTGCTGCGGCCCTCCCGTGAGTGGCTTCGGAGCATGACTAACAGTGCCGTGTAGGATCCCAGAAGCACCAGAAAACACATCAGGGTCACCAGGCCATTGTTAGACACCATTAAAAGCTCTAAGACAAAGGTATCTGTGCAAGCCAATTTGATCAGCTGAGGCACATCACAATAAAAGTTGTCCAGCTTGTCAGGCCCACAGAATGGCAGCTGGATAGTCAATGCAACCTGTACTATGGAGTGGATGAAGCCCCCCATCCAGGAGGCTGCCATGAGGAGTGCACAGACAGTCTGATTCATAATGAGCGTGTAGTGCAGGGGCTGGGAAATGGCAACGTAGCGGTCATACGCCATGACAGTCAGCAGGAAGATCTTGATGCCTCCAGTGAAGTGGAAGAAGAAGAGCTGAGTTAGGCATCCACCAAAGGAAATGGTAGGGTTGCCTGAGAGCAAGTCAAGCAGCATCCTAGGTGCCGTGATGGAAGAGTAGCAAAAGTCCAGGAAAGAAAGATTGCCCAAGAGAAAATACATGGTCGTGTGCAGATGTGGGTCAGAGGTCACTATGACCACAATAAGAAGGTTTCCCACTACAGTCATAAAATACATAGCAGAGAAAACAGTGAAGAAAAAAACCCGAAGCTCCCAAACCTGAGAGAGCCCCAGCAGAACAAATCCTGTCACCTGGGAGTGATTTGCTGGATTCATCTGGTTGGTATGATCTTGTCAGTGAACCTGCTAAGAAAAAAGGACATATTATTCAAGGGATCTGCAAATTTCTCTAAAATAATTCCCTCTGCTTCCTCTGTGAAAATCTTCACTCTTTCATTTTCCATAAGGAGAATGTTGTAACTGGTTCTGCAGGACACCAAGCATTTGAACATCATGTATTGGTGATATCAAACTCCAAAGGCATAAAACTCCGGATAGCACTCATACTATTTTTGGTTTACGAGAATCAAAAAGAATAAGTCCTCAAAAATTGAAAAATGGGATGTAGAAAAGAGAGTGTTAAACTGAAAATGAATTTCGATTCTTCCAGTAACTAGTTGTGTAAACAGAAACAATTATCTGCAGTTCTTTAAGCCTCACTTCCCTCCTCTATGATAGAAAATTAACCAAAATGTCCTCAAAGTTTCCTTTACTTTAATATTTGATACTTCATACGGCCTTAATTTAGAAAACCTGACGCATCCCTCCACGCCAGACATTCAGACGAAGCTTCCACGGGTTGACATATCTCTAATATTTATCCCAAAACAACAGAAAGCGCAAGTTGTACATTATAGTCCTGAATAAATATTCAGGTGCCTTCTGATACAGCTCTATCTTGGATATACATTTTCAGGCCTAGCAGGATACTGAAGCCACGGGTAAGGGAGCAGAATAGAAATCACTGGGGCCGGGCGCAGTGGCTCATGCCTGTAATCCCAGCACTTGGGACGGCCAAGGTGGGCGGATCACCTGAGGTCAGGAGTCCGAGACCAGCCTGGCCAACGTGGAAAAACCATGTCTCTACTAAAACTACAAAAATTACCTGGCGTGATGGCAGGCACCTGTAATCCCAGCTACTCAAAAACTCAAAAATTGAAAAATGGGATGAGCCGCAGGCCGAGGCAGGAGAATGACGTGAACCCGGGAAGCGGAGGCTGCAGTGAGCTGAGATCGCACTGCTGCACTCCAGCCTGTGAGACGGAGTGAGACTCTGTCTTAAAAAAAAAAAAAGGAAAGAAAGAAAAAGAAAAAGAAAAGAAAGGAAAAGAAAAGAAATCATTGCCCCTTGCACTTTAAAAGGGTAGTGAAGAACTACTAGTCTCTCTAAAATTAGATAAGAAAACATGTGATAGAAAAGGCTCCCTGTCTTGTGGCTCTGGGAAACACAGAGAAACTATAGTTCCTGGGGAAACATAGGAGAAGGCAACAAGAATATTAAACCACTTCCGAATCGTTTGAATATCAATATTAATTTCAGAGACATTACCCAAAGAATAATTTTTATTCATAGGGGAAGCAGCAAGAGGAAGCTATAAATACTAATTAAAATTTTAAAATCACCATCTAAAAATGCAGAACTACCCAGACATTTGGAAACCTTCAAAATAAAAGGGGTGTTTTTATACACTTAATTATGTTAAAACATACTCAGAAAGATGACTAAACAAATTCTAAAATAAAAGCCTTCCTGTTCCTGAATAGAAATGTAAGTGTCATTTCAATTTAACTTGAAATTAAGTATGGATTTCAATTATATTTTCTTTCCTTTGTCTATTCATTCAGCAAACATTTATTCAGCACCTTCTACTTACTAGGCACTGTGCTAAATACTAAGGAGTTAAAGAGTAAACCACAATGATTTAATGCATCTCTAAGTGTGTAACACTGCATAGGAGTGTTCCAACACCTGCCCACCTATTAGGTTTCATCAAACCGTATTGATATGGTTTGGCTCTGTGTCCCCACCCGAATCCCTTCTCGAATTGTAATCCCCACATGTCAAGTGAGGAACCTGGTGGAAGGTGATTGGATCATGGAGGTGGTT